CATCCATCCATCCATCCATCCATCCATCCAGGGCCTCTGCTTCAATGATACCTTTCAGCTACAGACTATAGTCATCCCTCCCTCCTCTTTACTCCGTACCCCCTCACCCACTCAATTGCTCTTCCCCCTTACCACTTCCTGGCCAAATGTCTCCTTATTTATTTAGTGGGCTGCTAAGAGCTTGGATCCTGTAGCCAGACCTGAGTTTGAATCTTACTGATTCTGCAACCTTGACCAAGTTACAGAAATTGCTGTCTCCTTATGTATTGGAGTATTGTTGCCTGTCTCCCACTGGAACAGAGGCCTCTGGAGAGCAGAGAGTTTGTTGCTGTTGTCCCCTGATCTGCCCCAGGGCCCAGATTGAGGCCTCCCACATCATAACCCATCCTCATCCACCAGCAGATACCTGCCAGATGCCTGCATGGACAGTGAGAACAGCTGGGGGCTGCTCCAGAGTTTACGTCCTGTCTGTAAATATCATTTTAGTTAGGAAGAAGCACTATGAAAATAGAACAGGGTGCTGCGATAGAGAAGCAGGGTGGTCAGGGAAGGATTCTCAGAGGAGGCGACTTTCAGGCCAGATGTGAAGTCGGAAAGGGCGTTCCAGGTATGGAGAAGGGCAGGTGCAAAGGCTCAGAGGAGAGGACCAGGCTGCCTAAGAGCAGAAACACAGCCACCGTGGCTGGGGTGTAGTGAACAAGACAGGCACAGAGCATGCAGCGGAGTCCAGAGGCAAGCAGGGGCTAGGTGGAGCACGACTTTGTAGACCATCTGCAGGTGTTTGGATCTGTCATGGTGGGAAGGCAGGCAAGAGACCAGATCAGTATATATCCCAAAAAGACCACTCCACGCTGCTGCGTAGAGAATTCATAATAGGGGATCGAGGATGTGTTGTCTGGAATGAATAAATGAATGAATGAATGAATGAATGAATGAATGAATGAATGAATGAATTTATGAATGAATGAAAATGAATGTGTGAGTTTGGCCTGAGCTTAGCACATCCTGCCCGCCCCTGTGGAGCTGTGCAAGCCAGCTCCTGCTTTTCTGATCAGAAAGCTGCTTAGTCTTGAACTAAGAACTGACCTGCTGCTCCCCAGATACCAGGCCTAAAATACCATCTCCAGCTCCTCTGGGTAGTAGGCACAATTACAGTTATGCAGCCTCCAAACGGTGCACAGAATTGATTAAACGGAGTGGAAACTGCTGAGGCAACCAACATCACGGCTGGTGTTGCCCTTACCGCTGACCTAAAAACATGCTTTGGGCTGTCCCCTGTTCTCTGCCACCGGGTATAGCCTGGTCTGTGACCCAGGAAATCCACTCCAAGTCTCAAACTTGAGTTCCTAGAGCAACCATTAGAGGTCAGTCTTGCTGGGTGACTTTGGGCAAAGTCATAACCTCTCTGGGCTTCATTTTCTCCACCTGAAACAAGGAAAGGAAGATCCCTACGCTGGTATAGAGGAAAGAACTCAAGGGTTGAAGTCGATTAAAGTCTAATTTGGATGTCATCAGTTACTGTGTAACTTTGGGAAAACCGCTGGGCAACTTTGAGCCTGTTCCTCACGTGTAGGAGGGAATTAGAACCGTTCATGCCCAACTTAACCTTACATAGTAGTTATGAGAATTAAGTGGGTGGGAAAGTGCCTTGGAAACTGTCAATTGCTATAAAAATGTTGTTGATTTAACTACATCAGGGTTATTTTGAAAACTAATGAGAGGGGCTGGGGGTTTAGCTCAGCGGCACAGCGCCTGCCTGGCAAGCGCAAGGTCGTGAGTTCAATTCCCAGTACCAGAAAAAAAAAAAAAAAAAAGAAAAGAAAACTAATAAGAAATTAGTTGTGAACAGTCTTAAATAATTCCTTGACCCAACTAGTATTTTGAGAACAAAATACTGTATTGCTCAACTGGATGAGAATAAATGTATGGACCGGGAGCAGTATGGAGTGTGGTTATTGGACTAGAAAGCTCTTAGCAATGCGACAATTACTTAAAATACAGCCAAGAGCTCGGGCTTTGGGCTCGGTCAGTCTGCCGCTTCCTGGCGGAGACCCCAGTTACTTTTCCTCTGATCCGCTTCCTCCTTTGCCTTAGGCACATGGTGGCCCTCCTTGCCTCACAGAATCCCATCCCAGGTACCCAGTGACACCTCTGTCTTACTGGTTTTTGTTATTATTGATTACACCCCATGCTATGTGCCAGGTAGCAGCTGAAAATCTCACTTGTTTGTGGTTTCCTTTACGTGTTCATTTCTTTACCAAAAGTATCTAGCCCGCGCCATGCCTGGCTCCAGTGGGCTGTTTCGTGGCTCTTGCAGCAGCTGTGTGCGGTCCCATTTGTAGGTGCGGAGAGGCTGAGTCACCCAGGGCCCCTATCTGTCAGGTGGAGGTGCCTGGATTCACACCAAGGTCGCTCTGGCCCCGAGCCTGCATTTGTGTCCTCCACACCCTGTCCTTGAGGCTGGCTCCCCTCCCTGGATTTGTCCTGTGGCCATTGCCAGGGCCCTCCTGGCCCATGGATGCCTGGCATGGCTTGGCTCATACCCTCTCGCCTCCTCCTGTGCCTTTGGGAAGGAAGGAAAGAAGGGAAAGAGGAGAAAAGGAGGACCCTCCCTCTTTCTCCCATCATTCATTGAGGTGTAACATACACAGAGAGCACAGATCTTAAGTACACAGCCCGTTAAATATATTTACACTCCTGTAAGCCTCGCCCAGGCAGGAGAGAGAACATGTGCTTCACCCAGAAGCTTCAGCATGCCCCTTCTAGGCCAGCGCTTTGCTACAAGTGACCTTTTCTGATTTCTGTCACCATGCGTTGGTGTTACATGCTCTTCCACTCCATATGAACAGAGCCCTACAGTTCCACTTACTGTGTTGTCTGAAAGATGCATTCATGTTGCTGTGGTTCCCCATTCTTTGTCATTGCTGTGTATATTCCACGGTAGGAATATGATACAGTTCACTCAGTCCTCTGGGTGGACATGGGGGTTGTTTCCAACTGTGGGTGGAACTACAGTCTGCCCTCAGTATCCAGATATTGGTTGTAGAGACACTCATGGGTACACAAATCCACCCATGCTCCAATCCCTTGTGTGAAATGACACAGTATTTACACATAACCTACACATGTCCAGAGTATACTTTAAACCATCTTTTAGTTACTAATACAGTAACTTTTTTATCACTGGGACAAAATACCCAACACCCACAGCTTAAAGGAGGAGAGGTGTCATTTGGCTCATGGTTTAGGGGTTTTGGTCCATGGTTGGCTGGACCCAAGGCAAAAACAGCATGGTAGAAGTGTGTGGCAAAAGAAGCCTGCTCAACCCGTGTCAGCCAAGAAACAGAGAGAGAAAGAGAAAGTGGAGGAGGAGTCTAGGACAAGAACACACCCTTCCAGGTCACACCCTGAGTCACCCCCTCTCCACAGACTAGGGCCTACCTCTGAGCACCAGAGATTTCTGGAGGAAATTTTAGATCTCAACTGTAACCGTATGTAAGTGCTCTGTAAGTAGGTGTTATGTTGTATAGTTTAGGGGAAAATGACTAGGAAAAAGCTCTGTACATGTTGAGTACAGACCCATCTTTTTTTCCTGAATGTTTTGATCTGCAGTTGGTTGAATCTACTCATACAGAAACAAAAGATTGAGAGAGTTGACTTTTGTGAATGGAGCTGCAGTGAGCATTCATGTATGTGTCTCTTAGTGGACACAGCCCTGTTTCTCAGCAATAGCATTGCTGGGACAAAGAGAAGACATGTATTCACTGTCAGGGATGCTGTCAAGCCATTTTTTGAATGGTTATACAGATTTCCACTGCCACCAGCAGTGATGGAAGTGCTGTTGGCTTCTTCTCACCAGCACTTATTGTTGTCAGTCTTTTTAGTTTTAGCCTTTCCAATGGGCAAGTGGTGGTTCCTCTTTGGGCCTTTACTGTCCACTTCTGTCATGCTTAATATGTTGGCCGCCACGTTGTACATGTACTGGCCATTGAGATGCCCTTTATGAAGTATCCATTTGAATCTTTGGCCCATTTTTTGCTTCTTTTCTTTTTCATAACGGTTAAAGGAGTTGTGTCAATGCAATGGATGTAAATCCTTCGTTGACACACATATTGAAAACCCCAGTCTGGAGTTTGTTTTCACGCTCTTAAAGGTGCTGAGTAGAAGTTCTATGTTGTAATGAAGGCTAATATATCAAGCTTTTCTTTTGTGGCTTTTGATTTTTGTGTCCCCTTCCAGTATCCTTTGCACCTGGAAGGATTCTCACTGAGATTTTCTCCCGCAGGGCTGGGAATGGCCACATGGAACAGGCCAAGCCAGAGGCAGCCTCAGGGGGCCAAGCCAGCTGCAGACGGGGAACCCCATGTGCCCCTGGGCCGGGAGCTGACAGAGGCCAACCGCTTCGCCTATGCTGCCCTCTGTGGCATCTCCCTGTCCCAGCTATTTCCAGAACCTGAGCAGAGGTGAGTTCTATTTTTTTTTTTTCAGTAATGGAAATAAACCCAGGGCCTTCACATTGAGCCATATCCCCAACACTTCCTTTGTTTTTTATTTTGAGACGAGGTCTCACTAAGTTGCCCCAGCTGGGCTCCAACTCGAAATTCTCCTGCCTCAGCCTCCCAGAGTGCTGGGATGACACGTCTGTTCACCACACCCAACCAAGGGGTAGTTATTGACAGTCAAGCTGCCTGCCAGGTCCTTGGGCACTATAAAGTCACAGCCTTACCTAGAAGGGACTCAGTCTGGTTGAAGGATAAGACATCCCTTCCTTCTGTTATTCACTCATTTATACCTTCGCCAGGCATCTTTTGAGCACCTATGGTGTGCTGGGCATGCTTTGCAGTACATGGAGGGCGTATGCAAGTGAGTCAAATAAGACACTCACCTTTTCTCCCTCAAGTAAGACCATCTTTTAAGGGGTGAGAGATTTATTCATTCATGAAACATGCATTTGTTGAGTACCTACATATCCAGTGTGCTGGATACAGTGCACAGCCCTGTGAGAAAAGAAAGAAGAACAAACAAGGCCTTGCTTCTCCCCTTGAGGTGCTTATGTCTAGGTGGGGCATCCACCCGGCTGATTGTAGCAGTGACAGATAGAGATGCCTGAAGGCTGCGCTGGGATTAGATGTGGCATTGGAGTACCAGGATGGCAGGTTTAATGGTGATGTGATGTTTCATATCTGCAATTGCGGGTACCTGCTGTAAATGTGCTTGAATCATGTATTTGGAATCAGAACAGCAGAACTGTTAAGCACATGGGCTTTGGCCTTTAAAACCTCCAGGATTTCTCCGAGGGGGTCTGGAGGCAGCAAGAGACCACTGAGGAGGCTGATGGGGCTGCTCCAGGAGCCAGGACAGTGATGAATGCTGGAGGGGGACACGGAAGGAACGGTGTTTCCTCAGGGAGCATGGAGTTGACTTGGGAATTGGTTGGATATTGGGGGTGAGACTGAGGCTGAGCTAACTGTGGCCCCAAAGGCTCAGGCATGGAGGAGAGTGTGGGAGGCCAGGGTTTGTATTACTGGGACTGTGTTCTTGCATCTGACACCCACACACACACTCAGTGGCTCCTCTCATGCCTCGGATTTGGGGTGTTTAGGTTTTCATCTTCTCTCTCACTACTGGACTGATTGCTGAGCAGATTCATCTTGGTCAAGGTCCCCTCCAGAAGGCTGTTCCTCCCCATCTGCTCATTCTCATGCTATATGTGTGAAGCCTCATCTTTCCAGAAGCTTCCTCTAACCCCTACCTACTAAACTGGTATCTAGCCAGGAAGAACTGTGTGTTCTTTCCTTCTATAAAACAAATACTTACAAGCGAACACTGAGCCAGGCCCATCCTGGGCACCAGGTGGGGGAGCACTGGGAAAACCGAGCTACCTTAGGTCCCATGTCCCCTCTCGCAGCCCGTATCCAAACATGGCTCTGCACACAGGCAGCTGCTGGCCTCTGTAAGCATGTACCACGAGGCTCCCTCCTGTGTGTTTCCAAGTCAGGATGCCCGGTGTTGCCACATTTTGTTGATCTGTTTTCTGAGACACAATATATCTTTTTAAAAACTTCCATCTTTTTACAGCCCAAACAGGCTGTTGGTTTCAGTTATCTGTAGAAAACACTCTGCAGTTTTCACCCACATAGGGCTTAAAAACAAACCCAAATTATTTATTTCTTATCCATATTGTAAGCCCCATAGAGTAATTGTTCCTTACAGTACATTGTATTTATGGGCTGGGATGTAGTACAGTGGTACAGCGCTTTCCTAGCATGCACAAGGACCTAAGTTTTAACCCCAGCACTGCAAAACAGAAAAAAAAAATTATTAAACAATTCTATCTATTAAAAATGAGAAATTGGTAAGGTGGAGTAGAGGTCAGCAAACTCCTAATGCTAAGAGTCTGGTATTTTAGGCTCATGGCTATGTGGTCTGTGTCACTCACCTTGCTGTTGTAGTCCAGAAGCAGCCATAGGCAGTATAGGAAGGAGCGTGTGTGTTACCAATAAAACTTTATTAGTGAAAACAGGCCATGGGCCAGATTTGCCCCATAGGGCTATAGTTTGGTGGGAGAAGAAGGTAAAATGCACATCAGCTAAAACTATTTGTATTTCATGCACCACAGTCACTGAGTTTTGTGTGTGTGCCACCATTTACATCGTGACCGTAATTCACATAAACCCTAATGTTCTCAAGAGGCTGAGCTTGCAGAGCTCCGGGACCTAAGCCAGGCCTGTCTTTCAGCTCCTTCTGCACAGAGTTCATGGCAGGCCTGGTGAAGTGGCTGGAGCTATCCGAAGCCGTCCTGCCAACCATGACTGCGTTTGCCAGTGGCCTGGGAGGTGAAGGAACAGACACGTTTGCTCAGATTTTACTGAAGGACCCCATCCTGAAGGGTGACCCATCATCGATCACTCAGGTACACCTTGCAGCTGGGTGACGGCTGCCGAGGACAGGGGAGCCAGTCATTTCCTTTCCCGATGCCGAGGACAGGGGAGCAAGTCATTTCCTTTCCCGATGCCGAGGACAGGGGAGCAAGTCATTTCCTTTCCCGATGAGTCTAAGAATCACATCTAGTGGGACGGAATGGTTGCGAGATAAAATACCCATCATGATCTATGATGATGACAGTCATCGCTGATGTTGATTTACTATCAATTTAATGCCCTGATGGCACTTACGTGCTTGTACCTTTACAAAAATTACTCATTTAATTCTCAGCTTCCTGAGGGGAGGAATATAGGTTGAGTATCCCTTCCAAAATGCTCGAGACTAGAAGTGTTTCAGATTTATTGGAAATATTTGCATATGCTAATGAGATATTTTAATGATGGTACTCAAGTCTAGACAATCGGAATCAGAAAAAAAAAATTCTTTTTAAGTGCTGGGGACAAAAACCAAAGCTTCAACCATTCTAGTCAAATGTTCTACCACACAGCTACATCCCCAGGTCCATGGGACCCAAATCTAAAAATGAAATTCATTTATATTTCATGTATACCATATACACATAGCCTAAAGGCAAGTTTATCCAGCATTTTTTAATAATTGGGTGTATGAAACAGAATTTCATGGTTTGGAATGTTTTTTGAGCATCAGATGGATGCTCAAAAAATTTCAGATTTAGGTGCATTTGGATTTGGGATTTTTTTTTCCTTTGGGATTAGAACCGCTCAACCTTTATAATTATTCTCATTTGATAGTTGAGAAAAGAGAAGCACAGAGAGGTTGAACAACTTCCCCAAGCTCACACCACTCATAAGAGGTCAAGCTAGGATTTGAACCTCCGTGGTCTGACTCCGGAACCCGTGCCCCGCTCAGCTGTGGTGCCCCTGTGCTTCTGGGCACATCATGGGCCTGCTGTGTGTGCAGTTGAAGCAGGCAGAAGCTTGTGACCTGCCCTGCTGATAGGCTAAGAGGAAGGGGAGGAGGCAGCCCCTTCCGCTCCCTTCCTCCTGTGCCTGAAATTCGTACATTTGTTTCCTCATTTGCTAATTTGTTTATCGTCTGAGCGCCAGTATGCAAAAGGGCAGAAGGGTTTTGTCTGTCTTGATCTGCACAGGGGAGGAGTCGATGAACATCTGTCCCCTGACCTGTCCCCTTGCCTGTCCGCTCGCCACTGACTCCCACTTCCTCTTTCCTCAGGACCTCCTGAGCTTCTCACTCAAGGAAGGTAAGTGGATTTGCTAAGCTCTATAAAGTGTGGGTGCCAGGGAAGCCAGTGAGAGGTGCTACCACCTGTACGTGACCCTGGCCGCGGCAGCCATTTTGGCAAGGGAAGGACGAGAAAGCAGTGTCACTGGCGAGCTGGTGAGTCCAGTACTCTGTGCTGAGCACCGTGCGGTACTGCTTTCACACCCATGCCAGTTCTCCCTCACCAGCCCTGTAGTTTTTCTTCCCAAGCGGCTCTCAAGTCTGGCCCCTCCCCCACCACCCACCCCCCTGGTCTCAGCCACCGTCCGCCCTGCTGATAGCTGGAGTCTTCTCACTGGTCACTTCTCGCTGGTCACTCTGGCTGCCCTGCATCCTGAATGACCTTTTCCAAGGCCTTGTGACCAGGGACAAGAGCTAGTTGTTCAATTTTCTAAAAAAAAAAATATTTTTTAATTTATAAGATCTTTGGTTCTAAGAACACAGTCACAGTCACGTATGATGGCACATGCCTGTAATCCCAGCACTCTGGGAAGCTGAGGCAGGAAGATCACAAACTAGAGCCGAGCTTTGACAGTCTACCAACTTAGCAAGACCTTGTCTCAAGAAGGAACCAGATGCTGGGGGATGTAGTTCACTGCAAAGGCCCTGGGTTCAATCCCCAGTACCAAAAAAAGAAGAGAAAAGAACATAGTCAAAGGCCTTTAAAAAGAAGCTTGCTGTCACAGATGAGCCAGTTACCCAGGTCCTTTCCCACAGAGGGAATCCATGAGGGCAAAGCCTTCTTCTGGCTTGTTTACCATTATTTCCCACGCCTATCCCACAGAGGGATCTATGGTCAGCATTTAGTATTTGTGGGAGGGAAGAAAGAAGGAAGGAAGGAAAGGAAGGAAGGAAGGGAGGAGGGAGGGAGGGAGGGTGGAAGGAGGGAAGGGGCGGGGACAGGGAGAAGGAGGGACAGAAGAATGGATGACTGGCCTTTCTTCAGAGATCAAGCTTAGATCAGGAGCAGGGTGGTTTGCCTGAGAGTCCTCCTTCCTGTGGAGACCCGCAGGCTCAGGGGAGGAGCCCACCCTGCCGATGGATTCCTCTCTGGGTGTGGGACAGAGTGAGTAGTCGTGGAATTGACCTAGAAAATCAACATGAAAAGCTGCATTTCCCAGAACTCCTAGAATACTGGCTTTCACAGAGTTTGGGAATCTTAGTCACAGAATGATTCCCTACTGGCAGCTGGGTGTGATTTTTTGAGAGTGCTAATCATTTTCTTCTGATCAAGTTGAAACCTGCGAATCTCTTTGCCCACACAACTGTAAAAACGTGTCTTCTCTGCTGCAGGTAGGCAGTCTGCGCTGATAACACGAAGTAAGGCTTACTCAGCTCTGCTGTGTTAATATCTGGGCTCGATAATCCGGGATGGTAGGGCTGCCCTGGGCACTGCAGTATATTTAGCAGTGTCTCTGGCCTCTGCCCGTTAGATGCCAGTATCACTTTCTGGTTGTGACAACTAAAAATGTCTCTAGACATTGCCGATGCTCTGTAGGGAACAAAACAACAAAAAATCTCGCCACCATCTCAGGCAGGGCCAGATCATTTGCATTCAGTAATCTTTATAGTCACCCTGATTGCTCGTTGCACCCCTTAGATTGTGAATTATTACACAGCATATAACTCTCAAATCAGCTACTGGAATATGTGCTGTTATCTCCACTGGGAGGGAATTAAGGTGCAGGAAGGTTAAGCGAGTGACCCAGGGTGACATTTCAAAGTTTCAAAGTACCATGTATGGTGAGGTGAATCTCACTGTAGACTCTGTATTGGTGCCGAGGAAACTTAAATGGAATCATGACTTGTGTCCTCTGGATTCTGAACTTGTAACCTGTGCTCTGAGAATTAGCATTAACGCAGGGACACGGTGCAGGCACACGCACGTGAGCCACAGCAGTCTCTGCCACAAAGTGATGTTCTGCAGAAAGTCTGTTCCTAGAAGCCAAACCCTGACTCCCTGAAGAATCAGGTGGCTTTGAGATGTGCCCCCTTGGCTGTGGAGAACTGCAGGTACAGTGACCTACTTGGTCAGTTCTCTGCCAGCCTCCTACAATTTGTTATCGATATGGAAACAGCCTGATTCATCCATTTAGCAAATAAGAACTGAACATCCAAGCTGGGCATTGTGACAGATGTCTGTATTCTCAGCCCTCTGGGAGGCTGAGGCAGGAGAGTCACAAGTTCAAGCCCAGCCTGAGATTTAGCAAAACCTTCTGTCAAGCAAACAAACAAAAAGGGGTGCTTCAGCTTTTAAAAGACAGCCACAGTGGAGTGAGCAGAAGTGTTGACACCAGATAATCCTGCATTACAACCTTTTCCTCCACTCTTCCAGCTGTGTGACTTTGAGAAAGTTTCTCAGTCTCTCTGTGCCTGTTCTTCCCTCATCTGCAAAATAGGGCACCATAGTGCCAACTTCCTAGGCTCACTGGGAAGAAGATTAGCAAGTTCCTCGCAAGCTCCTCACGGGAGGCCTGGCACATAGGTCAGGCCTAGGATGTTGGTCGCTGATTCCCTTCGTCTGCAGAGGCGGCAGGAAGGTCCTTTTGATCCCTTCCCTCCAGAAACAGCTGCCTCCAGACTATCTGGGTCTGAGAAGAACTGGCCTCTGCAGGAAAAGTCTGGCTCCTTGGAGTAGGAACAACCCACTGCCCAATCCCCTGGAGGGCTATCAGGAACCGATTCCAGAGCCCCTCCCCTGCATGGAGAGCTGGGGAACCCAAGTTTTCATGGGCTCCCCTGGTGACCTTTTGCTCACTAAAGTTTAGGAACAGCTGTCCACACACTGTGGTCGCAAAACCCCATGTTACCATGTTGCTCTTGGACTCTCAAGTCCACTCGACCTTGGACTTTGAACAGTGCCTGTCTGAGGAAAGGACCTCAGAGCCCAGCTCCCAGTCCTCGATCCAGAAGTCCTGGACTGGAATTGGAGCTATCCCAGAGGCATCGGGGGATCGGGGGTGCTGCTGCTGGTTAGAGCCTCTCCTCTCCGGCAGGGCTCCCTCTACTCCGCAGTCAAAGGTCAGGAACTAATCTAGATTCAGAAGGCGGCTGTAAGGGAGGAGCAGAGGCCAAAGGCAACCGATGGGCTCGGGAGAAGCGTTCAAGTCTGCAAGACAGCGTCCTGCTGCCTCCTGGCCTTGCTTCTCGTGTCACCTGTGAGGTCAAGAAAACGGCTTCTGCAGTTGGCTTCCCACCTCACTCCTCACCAGCTGGGTGAACCTGGGCAAGTGCCAGAGCTTCTGCACCTCTTGCCTCTCTGCTAAGCCACAGTGATTCCCAGGATCTGCCTCCCTGGTGGCCGGGGGATTCCAGACACGAGGACATGCAGAGGGAGCAGCACAGAATCTGGTCCAGAAGGAGCAGTAAACGAAGCTTTCAGATTAGAATGATCGCCCATCATGCAGTGTTTCTGCCAGAAGGGGCTGTGAAACTCTCAGCATCACCATCCACCATGCTTTGGACCTCTCCCAGCAGAGATCCATTCTTCTAGTCACTCGTTCACTCATTCATTTCCTAGTTTATCCTTGAGTCCTGCAGAGATACTAAACCTCTTGTTTTTAGGCACTGACCTAGGTGCAAGGGAGGTGAAGAGGGTTTGGCACTTAGGTGCAAGAGTATAAACCATAAACAAGTCGGCAAATAACACAGTGTAGTTTGAAATGGTGATGGGAAGAAATCCCTCTTGGTGAGGGGACAGAAAGCGGTGGCTTAGGGCCAGGGAGGGCTTCCCAGAGAAGGTGGCCTTTGAGGAAGGGAGTGAGCCATGAGCACATCTCAGAGAGTTCCAGGCAGTGACACAGTTCTGGCCCTTAAAGGAAGAGATGACCCCACCCCAAGGAGGAGAGAGAAACCCCCACGTCCCCAGGGAGCAAGACTTGGAAGGTACTGAAAACAGAGGGGGTCCCAAGAGGAGGTGGGAAGCGGGAGAGAGCTTGGGCTGCTTGGCTCAGTGAGCACAGCCGGGGAGCCTGCAGTCAAGGGAGAAGTTCAGCGAATGAGCCAGTGCATCTGGACGGTGCATTTACTAACTGGGGCATCATCTCAGGCACAGGGAGCAAGACCAAGGATCCTGCCCCATAGGATTGACGTTGCTGAGTGTTGTAGTGAGGGCTTGGAAGGAAAATAATTTAATACAGAGCACATACTTTATAGGATTATTTTGTAGTAGTCACCCAAAGAGTCAAGTACAAAGAGTGCAGGAAGTCTGCCCATACACTGAAGACCCAAAGAATCCAGCTGAGGGCCTGGAGCCCATGGCCATGTCCTGCACATGTCGAGCCGAAGACCTAGAGCCCGTGATAGTGCCCCCTACGAGTCCAACTGGAGGCCTAGAGCCCATGACAGTGTCTCATGTGGGCCTGTTTCAAGGATCTGTGCTGGGAAGGCAGCAAGGTCAGTGGTAGAAGCTAGAAAACCTGTGCCAGGGGGATGAAGGATCTGTGCCAGCAGGCTGAGGGATCTGCAGTGGAGCCAGGAAGCGATGCTCAAGCAATGCTTTGGGGGACCAGAGCTTCCCCAAAGTGAACTGCAGCTTACTCAGTGACAGTAAGGCCCCACGCTCCTTTGACAATGAGAACAGCCGAGTTCCTATCAGGAAAGCCAGCATGACAAGCTCCTCCAGGAGAACCAACAGCCCCAGGAGAACCAACAGCACCTCTTCTTCTTCTCGAGTTCTCTTTTTATGCTGCTGGCAACAGTCCTCAGGTGGGCCTTCCACATCCAGCACCACGCTGATTCAGTTAGCTGGGTGTTACAAGTTGACCAGCAAGTGTCAATCCACCACACTGAGCCACACAATAACCCATAATGCAGCAGTGGGAAACAGGGTGATGGGGACAGGATGACTGGGGGATAGGATGCTCTAATTCCGGAGCCACTGTCCTCACCAAGGAGTTGATCTTTCAGTTGAGAACTGACTGATGGGAAAGGGCCGGCCCAGCAGAGTTTTGGAGGAGGTGCTTCCCAAGTATGGAGAACAGCGAGTGCAAAGGCCTCGTGGCAGGCTGAAGCTTGTTCTTGACAGGACAGATGCTGCTGCATAGAGCAGGGACAGGTGGATGGTGAAGTGAGAGAGGATGGCGGGGAGGGGCCAGATAGTGTGCTCTTGCAGACCAGAGGAAAGCAGCGTGGATTCTATACGAAGCGCTGTGGGAGCCGTTGGAGAGTTGTATTAACCCAAGGAGAAAACACAGTCGGATTGATGACTTTGAAAAATCTCCGTGGCAGATGAGGTGCAGGGATCAGAATGAAGGATGAGAACCCAGTGTGATGGCTGCTGGAGGTTGACAGGCGGTGGCAGATGGTGGCAGTAGAGATGGAGTGAAGTGCTCAGACCCAGGACATAGAGTTTGGAGGTGCAGCTGTCAACACGGGCTGGGAGACTGGATGTCTGGATGGTGCACCAGGAAAGTCAGGAACAGTGCCCAGGCTTTTGGCCTGAGCCGCAGAGTGGACGGATAGATGGGGCACATGTGGAGACAGGACAGGCGGGCCCTTGGGCAGTGAGCTGGTCACGTGGCAGGCTGGCAGTAAAGCTGAGACCAGAGAATTCTCATGGTCTGTGTATCTTTTTTTTTAAAAACTGTTTTTCGGTTTTTGGTTTTTTTTTTTCCAGTATCGGGAATCGAACTCACGACCTTGCACTTGCCAGGCAGGCACTGTGCTGCTGACCTAAATCCCCAGCCCTGGTCTGTGTATCTTGGCATGCATGACCCCATCTACTTTCCGTAGATAGAAGCTCAGCTCCAAAACCAGTGGCCCAACCGCCAAGGTCCCTGACCCTTACACACAGCTGTGCCTGACATCCTGACCATGGAAATGTTAATCACCTGTGCACCTGGCAACCTGGCTCTAGGAGCTGAATCACTGCAACCTTGACCCATGGAGTATGTTTGAGCACTAATTATAATTACTACCCATTATTCATCAGGACCAACCTTTGATTGCCACTGCCTGATTATCACCGGGCACAGCAGCCTCTTGTTTCTTCAAAGCCACAAGGACCTGCTTTGTCTACAGAGGTTTTATTCACCCAGTAACCCCAACATGCAACGTGTGATTGTCTGTCCCTCGGCACGTAGTCAGTACTTCCCCCAGGCAGTTGACCAAGGGCATCCAGGAAACGTGGTTAGACCGTGAGAGGTGACAGATAGCCACCTCTGAGGACCCTAGGTTAAGGAAGGACCTGATTTCTTCTGCTGAAACCTCAAACTTAAGACTTTGGGGACTGAAAAAAAATAGTTTGGGGGTGAAGTGATGTTGAACAGGAAACACATAGCCAGGGAAATGGGGCTCCCCTAAGCCAGGGCTCGAGAAACCTCACTTTGGAGAAGTTTCTCAGCTTGTAAGGCTGATGAGCAGCTAGAACTGGGAATTAGCATTATCAACCCCCAGTGTCTCCACAGCGCCCCTCCGAGGAAGGTTGGTGTAGAACAACTGAATGCCAAGTCTTGTCTCTCTCGTTGTGGAAGACACCCAATGTGGAGGCCAAGAGACTCAACCCTTGAATCATAAAGAATTTGATATAAAAATCAGAAGTTTGTTCATAGGCACACATTTTGACCTCTTTGTGGGTGTCTTGCCCCAGACAGATGCTGAGGTTAGACACCCAGGTGGGTGAGCTTGTTGTCCGTCCAGTAAGACACAAACGAGGACAAGCACATGGGGAGGCGCCGGGAGAGAGGCTTCTGTAGGGGACCTGAGACCCCATAGAAGGAGTGATCCAGAGAGAAATTCACAGAGGAGGGGCGCCTGAACCAAATGTTGGGGGGAAATCCCAATTCAAGGTTTAAGTGATAGAATAATGCCCTACACACACACAGGTATCCATATCTGGATTTCTGGCATCTGGGACTCTCTCACCCTACGTGGCAGAAGGATTTTGTAGCTGTGGTTGAGTAAAGCGTCTTGTGAGGTAGAACCCATCCTCCATTCCCCTGGAGCTCAGTTGTCACGGGAGTCGCATGGGCTTTGTTAGGAGAGAAAAAGGAGGCATGGTGAGAGAAGCAGAGATTTCTGGCTTCCAGAAGCAGGAAAAGGCAAGGATCTCATTCTCTCTCAGCACCTCCAGAAGGCACACGGCCCTCCCAACACCTCGATAAAGGACATCCGACTGCAGCACGGGAAGATATAATTTGTATTGTCTTAAGCCGTTAAGTCTGGTATTTGTTACAGCAGCCATAGGAAACTAATACAGCTAACTCTGCACAGAACACTGTTGTAAGTGATGTATATGTACTTCCCAGGATCAGAAGGATAAAGGCCCCTCGGATAGAAAACAGGAGAGGAGAATTAAAACAGACTGTCCAGCTAGAGAGCCTCAGGGCCAAGGGATGGTGCTGAGGAAGGGTGGGAGCCGGTGAGAGCTGATTTCCACAGTGCCAGGCTACCAGGCACGGACTAAGCTCTGCGGGCAGTGGTGTGATGGGGGCAGTGCAGAGTGGCTTGGCAGGGGCCTCTGAAGAGGGGCCCAGGAGCTAAGCCAAGTGGGAGCTTCAGAGATGGGAGAGGTGAGATGGGTGTAGGAGGAGGGAGGACGATGGGGGCCCCCTGCCCCCAGCTTGGGTGATGAGCAGCTATTGCATTCTGGGGTCACTGGAGTCCCTCATGCCATATAGGGCCCACGGAAGGGGGTTGATGGAAATCAGTCTTAGATGAAGGGGACACCTTGCTTAGGATGCTATCCATCGTGGTGCTGCCTGAGGACAGAAATCCTTCCAGTGTGGTCGGTTCATTTTACCTCTTTCAGCCCCCTTCCTTACTGATGAGGTATTAACATTCTTACAAGCTTTAGGCTATATAATGAGAGTTTGGTTAAATTTTGATAGATTCACTTTTTTCAATTATAAAGTTAACTCGGTTCACTATGGGTATTTTTTGTTGTTTTTTGTTTTTGTTTTTGTTTTTTTAAGACAGGGTCTTGCTATGCAATGCAGGCTGGGCTTGAACTCACTGTATAGGCCAGGCAGGCCTCAAACTCTCCTCAATCCTCTTGCCACAGTCTCTCGAGTGCTGAGATTACAGGCATGCACCACCACACCTGGCTCACTATGGGTAATTTTGAAAAAGAAAATCGCTCACTCTCGCTAGTGTGGTATACCAGTCCTTGTGCTAGTGGTGGTACGTGGCTATAATCCCAGCACTCTAGGAGGCTGAGGCATGAGGATTGCCAAGTTTGAGCCCAGTTTAGGCAAAGTACAATTTAGCAATAGACTATCTCAAAAGAAAAAAGAAAGGGCTAGGGATATAGCTCAGTGCAGAGGCCCTGGGTTCAATCCTCAGTGTTACACTCACACACACACACACACACACACACACACACACACACTCCCTATGTAACGTATTTCCTTATAGTCTTTTATTTCCTATGAAGTGTTACATTTTGTTTTGTCTTGTTTCCCTTAATTGGGACCCGCTGACATATTATGGAGTCCGTCTTCTGTCTACTTTTAAAATTTGTTTCACTATGTATGCATTTTTTCCAAAAGTTATAGCCAACCTTCCTTGGGAATCATTTTATGATGGACCCATAGTTTTCCACAGAACAGATACACGTACACCCTGACGCTAGAAATCTTCAGATTATTCCAATTTATGTTAAAAAGCAGACTTATTTACTTTATTGCCCTTGTTTACCAAATACAGTGTTTTCTACATTAAGGATTTTTAAAATTAAAATTCAAAACTGGAATTCTTGGAGCAGAAGGGGTGCACATTTTTTAAAAAGCAGATGCATATTGCTAAATTTTCCTTCCAGAAAGTTGGTACCAGTGTATACTCCCACCACAGTCTCTTGAGCTGATTCCCACAGTGCCAGGCTACCGGGCACGGACTAAGTTCTGCGGGCAGTGGTGTGATGGGGGCAGTGCATCCCACCAGTGATGTCTTTGAGTATCAGTTTTTTATCATCCTCTTATCAGCATTGGGATTGGGCAAACTGATCTTTGTTCATTTGACTGGTGAGAAATACCACCTGGCTTTGGGTTAATATTTTTTTTGTTTTGTTTTGTTTTGTTTGTTTTTGGTTTTTCTCCGGTACCGGGAAGTGAACTCACGACGTTCCGCTTGCCAGGCAGGCGCTTTGCCGCTGAGCTAAATCCCCAGCCCCCTGGGTTAACATTTTTGGTAGTTGCATAGTATTCTATCCGGAAGCTGTGCTATTGTTGCATTGACTGGCTCTTACAGGGTTATGTCTTAGGTTATTTTTAAGGTTGGGGTTTGAGGTTCTGTCATTTACACTGCTGTTAAGATCTCTGTGCTTAAAGGCCAACTTGATTTGTCTGCTCATCTTTTTCTCTCTTGAGGGCGCTATGATGCTCGGGCCAGAGTCCTCGTTTGCCACATGACCTCCCTGCTGCAGGTGCCCTTGGAGGAGCTGGATGTCCTTGAACAGACATTCCTTGAAAGCCTGAAGGAAACCAAAGAGGAGGAATCTGAGTAAGAGCCCTGTGACCCTTGGCAGGAGCCACAGATTTCCACCTGCAGATAAGAGGGCTGTCCTCCCCAGTTGAGAGATGGGGCAGGGAGGCAGCAGGAACATTGGATGGAGAATTCCAGGTGCAGCCCTGACTCACTGTGTGACAAGTCGCTTGCCTCTCTGGGCCTCTCATTCACAAAAAGGGGGAGAATGGATGATTGCTAAGGGCTGTGAATCTATGTTATTAACATCCACCCGGTGCCCTGACACCCTGCTCCACTTCAGGCCCTTATGACTGTGTGAGCAAGGTTCTGATACTAGTCTATGGTTTGACTTTGGGCAGGTGACCTTTCTCAGACCTGCAACTGTCCTATCTGCAAAATGGGTAGAAGGGTAGCACCTTGCCAGGGTCATTAGGAAAAAGGAAAGGGATTATATCTTGGTTTTGGTTTTTTACTGGGGTTTAAATTTGGAGCCTTTGTGCTGAGCTATATCTCCAGCCTTTTTTTGAGACAGGGTCTCGCTAAGTTGCCCAGGCTTGGCTCAAAATTGTGATCCTCCTGTCTCAGCCTCCCAGAGTTTACAGGTATGCATGTGGGATTACAGGTATGCATGAACACACTTGACTGGAAAGGGGTCATGTTATAAAATGATCAGTCCAGGGCTGACACATAGCGATGCTTAGTGGATACAAATCTCTTCCCCTACCTATCCCGAACCCATCAGTTGTACAGCAGCTTTGCTATTGTGTATGGCCAGAGTACATAGATAGAGGAAAATTATCCTGCTAATTGGCCTGAGCAAGCTCTTTGCATACGCCTTCCACAGAGTCAAATCTCAGTGCAATAAATCAGTCCCAGGCACAGCCTAATTGCAGGCTGCGGACACTAAGCACCCTTGCCCAGCCCTGGGTTTTGTTCATCTGTCGTGGCTTCCTTTGAGCAGCTAGGTCACACCATTTCAGCCCAGCTGGAAACTTAATCTCAACACCAACTTCAGAGCCAGAGCTGTCCTCCTGCCACCGGGGCTTCTGAGGCAAAGGAAAAGGCATTACCTTGAGAAAGGAGGAAATGTGGTTTGTTGAAACAACCTAAAAACATTCCTGCTTTGAATCCCAGAACTGTGTCAATAAAGAATTACCTGGCACTGAGCAAATGACCATCATCACAAGGGCTGCCCAAATTCTTTCGCCATATTGAAAATTTATAGGGTCTTATCTGCCTTGAAATTAAGGAAACGCCCTTATTATTTGGAAATCTTTTTATCAGAAAAAAAATGTATTGCCTAGAAGAATTTACTTGATAATATTAAGAATGCTGGATCAAGGCAGAAGTTTTAACAAAGCCTGGCTCTGCTATTTTACCAAATATATGATCTTGGGAAAATTATTTAACTTTGCTGGGCCTCAGTTTCCTGACCTGCAAAATGAGGGTAATAATAGAGTGCTTCTCACAGGGCCTTTGTGGGCTGAAATGAGTTCATACATACAGAGTACTTCAGCTGGGACAAGTAACTGCTGGACCTGGGACAGAGTAACTACTCCATAAATATCCATATTTGTTATTGTTAACAGTCCCGCTATAACGAGCACATATGAACCCTTTCCCCAGAAAAATATAGTTTTAAGGACTATGGAGACTCAGATTCTATCAGTGGTCTCCAGCAGGATCTGAAATCAAGAAGAAACATAGCAACTGTGCAGCCTGGAGACCTGATTCTTAGTTTGATTCTGCTGCTAACCCTCTGTGTGGCCTCGGACAGGTTGCCTGCCCTTTCTGGGCCCCAGCACCAGTTGTTTCACCTATGCAATTAGAAAATCAAATTATACGTGGATTTCTTTTAACTCTAGGTTCTATTTTTGTTTTTTTGGTTTTTTTTTTTTTTTTGGTTTTTCTCCGGTACTGGGAACCGAACTCACAACCTTGCGCTTGCCGGGCAGGTGCTTTGCCGCTGAGCTAAATCCCCAGCCCCTAACTCTAGGTTCTATGTTCTAGGAGGTGAGCTTATCTGAGGCGCTCCTTTGCAGCTGGGATCGCGAGTATGATGCGTCACCCCAACTTTCTTGGTCCCACTCTGAGCCCTAAGGCCATCCAAGCCTCCACCTGTGGCATGCCTGTGCCTGTCTGTGCTTCAGTTTCTTTGTCCCTCACAAGGGGATGATGTTAGTATCTGCATGAGAGGGTTGTGGAGAGGATTAGGCCAACACGCATCAAACCTTGGCATTGTGCCTGGCACACAGCAGGAAGCATTACTGGGGCACTGCTGGAGGTGGACGCTGCTCACCTTCAAGGAACATGGTCACCATCCACCTTTCACCGAGTGCTTCTGAGTGCAGGGACAAACCACCGTATCTGATCCTCATAACCATAAGCTGGGGATTCTCAAGTGAAACAAGTCGGACAGGTGGCATTACTCACCATGTCACGCCACCGGCCAGTGGCATCATGATTCAGCTATGATGTCCGGCTGGATGTCATTTGCTGAATCCCTCAAGACTTGGTTTACAATCGCAGGTTCCCTCCTTAACTCTGAAGAAGGCAGTAAAGAGAATTCTCTATGGGGCCATCTGAGCTGTCACTAAGAAAGGATCTCTAGACCTCAGAGACAAGCTCATCCTGTTTGTTAACATCAGAAAAAAAAAGATTTTTTTTTTTAGGTTTTTAACCGCAGGTGGTGGGCTGGGGTGTAGCTCAGTGCAGAGTGCTTACCACAGGTGCACAAAGCTGAGTCCATTTGCCAGCAATGGAAAGAGAAGACAAAACAGCAGGTGGTGGTGAGGATGGTAGGGATCGGGAACGCCCTCTCGTGGGAGATCAGATGGAAGGGTATAAAAATCTTTGTGGCTCCGTGACATGAGCAGAATTGTTTTGCTCTAGGAGTATCTTTGACATCAGCTTGGGATGTGGCCCAAATCCACAGCGTAGCATCAGCCGCCGTCCTTAGTTGACATGGAACACCAATGCAGCTTCATTTCTGGCATTCCGAGGTGTGATTGTATGATGCTGTGGACTGCCATCTTGTCTAAAGAAAGAGCAAAGTCTGCAGCAGGGACAGAGCTGTCGTTTGCATTCAGAATTATCTAAATCTGTGCTTCTGAGGCAGAGGAGGGGAGCTTCTAGGTGTGACTCAAAGCACACGCCTCCTGGGCGTTAGAGGTTGCAATTCAGTCAACTGAAGTAATTGCAAGAGTAAAACACTGTGATAATTAACAGTGACTGGGAAATCTATTCATTTTATGTAGAAAACAATTACTAAGAATGTGCAATTTTACATAAATAGAGAAATAGATTAGCTGTTCGGGTGAATATCAGGAGAGAGTGCCTCAGCTAAATACCTTTAGGGAAAAACGCCTTCTTTTCAAATCAACGAATGTTTATAAACATTTAGTAACAATGCAAGCAGAATATTAGAGGGGCTGGGGATATAGCTGAATGCTAGAGGGCTTGCCTAGTACGTGCAAGGCCCTGGTTTCCATCCCCAGCACTTCAAAACAAATCTTTAAAAAGAATACTAGTAGAAGTGAGAGAACATACCATCCATCTAATCTTTGTAAAGTTGATTTGAGATACTAGAATTCATGCATTTAAATCACACGCCCGTCGAGGACCATATAGTATTTATGTCTTAGTTACTTTATTCACTTCAGGCCATAATCTTTGCTTCCGTCAAACTCAGCTAAAAGTGATGACCGCTGGGTAGCTTAGATGTGCAGATGTCACTGTACAAACAATCTAGAAGCAGACAGTGCCCAGAAATGTCAAGGACAAGAACTCAGGAATTTGATTAGGTTTTTAATAATAAATCTATATTAATCATGAAAATTCTGACATTTCAGCTTGGTCCTGTTATCTCAGAGATTTCTATTTGGATGACAAGTGTCTTATACTCTGCCTACATACTTTTGTTTATCCAAAATATCCTTTCTGGGCTCCTCTAGTTTTCATAACGCATGGGGAACTCTGTCGCCACATCACAGGGGCACCTTCAGTCCTTGGTGGAATAATTGGGTTCTATTCGAGAAACATTTCCTGAGTGCCCAGGGTGCAGAGCTGCAGAGGAGAGAGAGCTGGAAGTGGCTGCGCCTGCACCCTGAAGGTTTAGCCTAGCAATTTTCAACCTTGGGAAACAGCAGAATCCCTGGAGGGACACGTTACAGAGGCACATTCCTCGCCCTCACACCAACATACACCCCCCTGAGCCACCACTCTTTGAAAATCGCTGGACCAGAGTCTCGGGATAATATGGTACAAGGGTTTGATGTGCCCGGAGTTAGAGCATGTAGGCAACCATGAGGCTCAGAGCACGCTTCCAGCAGGAGGTGCTGCACATCAGCTGACGCTGAAAGGATACATAATGTCAAGCTGTACTGGAGCAGATAAGAAGGTCCTTGGGGACCGAGCCCCGGTGGGGAACAGGCATGAGATAGTGTGCTTGTGGGACTCCATGTCCCACAGGATGAGGCGTAAGCTAGGAAGTGATGAGAGATGAAGCAGAGGAGGCAGGGGCCAGGACACAGAGGTCCTGAGTGTTATGCCAGGGAGTTGACCCTATAATGAAGGCACGGCGCGGCAAGGAGAAGTGAGGGGAGGCAGGCAGGCGGCCATGACTATATTTTCCTGCTTGCATTGGCTGCTGGGGCACCACTGTCTCACAATCCTCCCACAAAGTCATTTCCCATTTCCTTTTCCCAAGTAAGGAAATCGAGGGTCAGAAAAATCAGATGACCCAGCAGAGCTGCCTCCAGTCCCTTTCACCCAATTTCCAGCTTCTTCCCATTGGTGTTTGTTGAATCAAGGAGCCGCTGCTGGTCCCCTTGCGTGCTCCTATTGTATGTTGTCAACATGCGTTTTTTTCTTAGTCCTTGAACTGTGCTGCAAGTCAGTAATTTCCAGCCTCCTTGTTTGAACGGAATTAAAGATCATCAATTAAAGAGCAAAGCAATTAAGGGTCAAAGTATATCGCCAGCTACTGTTTAATAGGAAACTACTGTAATCATGAAAAGGATGATAATAGCAACATATTCCGTGATTACAATATGCCAGTCCTATGAATCATCTCATTTCGGTCTCATTGACTTCCTTGGAATTGCGTACGATTATTATCCTTATTTGTTGGACGAAGGAACCCAGATGTGACAAGTATCTGTGCATAGTCACAAAGTGGTAAATGGCTCTAAAGATAGGTAGAACTTGCTGCTGTGACAAATGTCGCCCTAATCTCAGTGGCCCACATAGCAGAGCCTTATTTCTTGTTCATACTACAGTATGTCCATTGCAGATTGGCTGGTTCCCATCCATACTGTCTCGGTTGTGGGTTCCAGGTGGACAGGGTGACTCCTGTCTAGAATGTTGCTGGTCCCTGGTCACATTGAAAGGAGATATAGGGGCCAGGGATTTAGCTCAGCAGCACAGTGCCTGCCCGGCAACCGCAAGGTCCTGAGTTCAATTCCCGGCACCAGAAAAAACAAAACAAACAAACAAAAAAAAAAAAACGAAGGGAGACATAACTTGCACCAGCTGTTAAAGGTTCTGCCAAAAAGGACGTCACTTCTACCTGCATTTCATTGGCTAAAGCTGGTCACATGACCAGTCAGCTCAAGGGGGCGGGGATACACAGTGCTCAGCCATGTCTACAGGTTCCACAGCCTCACACTGAACCAACCAACCAACCAGATTGAAATTTTTTTTAAATCATTGGATCTTTACTGAACATGTACAGTATTTTTTTCTCCTTGTCGTTATCCCCCAAACAATACAGTGTGACAATGATTTGCATTGTATTAGGCATTATGAGTAACCCAGAGATGATTTAAAGTACAGGGGAGGATATGTATAGGTTATAAGCAAATACTGCACCATTTCAGATAGGTGACTTGAACACCCATAGATTTTGGTATCCCCTGGGAGCCCTAGAACCAATCCCACAGATACTGAAGGATGAATGTGTACTCTTCCCATAGGGTGGGATAAGTGAATATTTGGCAAATGGTGGCCCAGCCTTTACCGTGGCAGAAGTCAGAGTTAAGCCTGCCTTTGCAGGCTAAGTCCTGACGTCAAGCCCTGCGCTCTGTCATTACCCTCCCTTCCAGCCAGCTGGATCTATGCAAGTTCCTCCTCAACCCACATGCAGACAACATCCATTTCAGTCACCAGGGCTGGGGATGGAGCTCAGTGGCAGGGTACTTGTCTAGCATGCATGAGGCCCTGGGTTCCATCCCCAGCACTGAAAAAACTTCAATCGCAGATAAGAGCGCTCATGGTATACATGGGTTTTATCGCTGGTTTCTGCTTTTCTGCAGTGAAGCAACCTGTGCTTTAGACCAGGAGCTGCACAGGAGAAAATTGGTGAAGTGAGCCAGCAGACAGCCACAGAATGTGGCAGCTCCCGGAACTCAGATCCCTTTCTTAGTGTGGTCTGTGAGGAATGAGACACGAAGGAAACAAATGTGGACTGAGCACATGGGTTTTCTGCTCACGAGTACCTGCTATTCACAGATGCAGCACCCAAGATGTCAGCACAATGTGTGTTCATAGTTCAAGTTTATTGGTTGAACTGGGTGTCCACTGTACAGGCCTGTAAAGCCAGCACTCCGGGAAGCTGAGACAGGAGGGCTGCAAGTTTGAACCCAGCCTAGGCAATTTTGCGAAACCCTCATCTCAAAATACAAAGGGCTAGGGATGTAGCTCAGTGGTAGAGCATTCTGGGTTCCATCCCCAGTACAGGAGGAAGGTCAAGAAGAAGAGGAAAGGAAAAAGTAAAGAGAGGGGACTGGGAATGTAGCTTGGTGAAGAAGAAGGAGAAGGGTGAGGAAGAAAGAAAGAAATGGAAGGAAAAGGCTAGAGATTTAGCTAAGTACAAAGGCCCTGAGTTCAATTCCCAGTATCACCAAAATGGGAGATGCTTAGTGATTGACTAGACAGCAGGGATTAACTTAATCTTCACAAAGCAACTACCTTATGAGGGAGATGCTCCTGTTCCATTTTACAGAAGAGGAGACTAGGGCTCAGGGTGATGCAGTTTTATGACCACAATTACCGGTTTGCCCAACACTCAAAAATGTGCCTTATAAATAATCTGTCCATCGACCCCCGTGATCTCAGGCAGTAACCTCTGTTACCTCCTCCCACATGCGTAATGTGGGGACAACAATAAAACTTCACCTTAGAGTCAGATAAAGAAATTGTGGGAAGTGCAGAGCGTGCTGGCAGTATGAGGAAGCCCTTGCTAAATATTAACCATTCCCCGTGGTCACCCTCATCCCTGGCTATCACTCCGCGTTAAGTTGTTGTCCAAACTCCAGCTTCGGTTCAGAGTCCCACATCATCGTGACCACTGGAGCCTACCGTCGCTGTCTTTCTTGCTCCTGACGGCCCCAGAGTGACTGAAAGATTAATACCTGATACGGAAATGGGGTATCCTGACTGCAAGCTGACCTCAGGATGCCCCTGACCCCAGTTCACTCTGAATGCTCTTCTAGATTTTGTACCATTTATATTTTGGGTCCAAGTGGGTCTAGCTGTTGCTCCAACCAAGGCCAAGGTCTCCCATGTAGACATTTCTAGCCTGTCTGTGAAATGATTCTTCTGACGGAAGTTGGTTTCCATATTTCCTAGAGGAGGAGGGACCCAATGCCAGGAGGTGGTGGGCAGGGAAAGGGTGGGAGGCAACAGAATCTGAGATTCTATTTTGTAGTCATTCTGGGTCCATCTGTTGAAAGATATTTTCGGTGCTTCTCTTGTTATTATTATTATTTTTTGTCTTTTCATTATTCAAATTGCAACCTTATTAGGATGGCTCCGTTGGGTAAGTAGTGTACTCATACATTGAGATTTCTCAGCTGGGTTTTAGAATATTTTCAGCTCTTTAAAACCACTAATGTGCCCAGGGTAACTTTGGTAGCTTACTGTGTGTGAGTGTTCCAACCCACCATTGACCTTGGTCTGGGGGGTGGATGTGGTGGGAGGTCTCAGGGGATCCTGGGCATGGGTGGCCCTAAAGACCAACCTCTTCTCTCCCAGAACCGCTGAGGCTTCCCGGAAGAAGAAAGAAAACCGGAGGAAATGGAAGCGTTATCTACTGATAGGCCTGGCAACTGTTGGAGGCGGGACAGTGATTGGTAAAGCCAACTGGGGATGGTGGAGTGTGGGCTGGGATGGTTCAGAACAAGAGCTGTGCTGGATTTGGATGAGGAGAGAGTACAAAGGGGTGGGCTGGGAGGTGGCCCCAGCAGGCAGCAGGTGCCTGTCAGCGATGAACACGCTCTTATCAGCTTCATGGAAGACAGTGGCTGGCCGGTGGGACAAGAACTCACCTTCACTCGCCATGGGCTGCTTTCCCTGCAGGTGTGACTGGGGGTCTCGCCGCCCCCCTTGTTGCAGCTGGAGCTGCGACAGTCATTGGCAGTGCTGGGGCAGCGGCCCTGGGCTCAGTGGCTGGCATAGCTGTCATGACTTCGCTGTTTGGTGCAGCTGGAGCCGGCCTGACAGGTGAGGTTCAAAAGGGATTAGGGGGTGGAGTCGACCAGCATGGCCCACCCTAAAGGACTCACCCAGGTTCTCCCCTGATATGGCTCTGCGGGAGCTCCGGCTTTGTGCACGCTGAGTCCCAGCCTACCATACCTGCAGCAGGTCCAAAGAAAACCAGGCCAGTAGCTCAGCATGGGCTGAGGTTAATGCTGAGTTTAGAAACTTGGCTTTCCACACCCCATGGCTTCCCTAGAGAGAGTCCAAGTGAGCCTGCTGCCGCTACACAGGGGGTTTCCAAGCAAGCCCCCCAGGGACATGCGTGCTTCGTCGTGGTCAGACAGAGCATGACTGCCTTTCATTAACCAGCTCATCTCATCACACAGAAATCCCCACCCTGCTCCCCTGCTGAGAGCCCTGGTTGGTTCAGTCCACTCCCACTAAGACTGAGGGTCACATGCTGAAGGGACAGGTGTGAAAAAGATCCAACCAAGTCAGGACAGGGCAGTAGTTAGAGCCTGAATGCAGATCCCTGTCTTCCCCTCGGCAGCTGTTTTGCCCTCCTCTGTAACCGGGTACAGTAATGCCACTTGCCTTAGACAGTTCACAACAAACATGCGTTTTTTTTCCAGGGCAGGGCACACAGTCAGTCAGTCACTGCTCTGCCCCACCCCCACCCACACAGCGTCCCCTCCATTCTCATTCTCATTCTCACCTCGGGGCCTCCAGGCTACAAGATGAAGAAGCGTGTTGGGGCCATTGAAGAGTTCACATTCCTTCCCCTGACGGAGGGCAGGCAGCTGCACATCACCATTGCCATCACTGGCTGGCTCGCATCTGGCAAATACCGTAAGTGGAGAAGGAGTGGGAGTGGGGTGGGCACTGGCAGGGCTTGGCCTACAGCTGCTAGTCAGGCCTGGCAGGTTCTTATATATCTCTTGGAGATGGGGCTGGGGAGCCCCATTTTGCAGAAGTGGAAACTGAGGCTCAGAGAGGCGAAGTGACCATCCCCCATCCATCCACCTACCCACCCACCTATTCTTTCATCCATCCATCCATTCATGTACCCAGCCAGCCAGCCAGCAATATTTATCAAATATCCATTCATCTATCCACTTATCCATTCATCCATCCAACTATCCAACCATTCAACCATCCAGCCATCCACCTACCTATTTACCTATCCAGCCAGCCAGGCAGCAATATTTTTAGAATACCCACTCACCCATCCACTCATCTACCCATCCCTCCATCCATTGCTCCATTTACCCATCCATCCATCCATCCACCTATCCATCATCTACCCAATAAGCCAAATTCATAAAATATATATATATTTTTTTTGTCTTTTTTTGAGACAGGGTCTTGCTCTGCAGTTCAGGCTGGACTTGAGCTCACTTTGTAGCCCAGGCTGGTCCCGAACTCACAATGATCCTCCTGCCTCAGCCTCCCGAGTGCTGGGATTACAGGCGGGTGCCACCACGCCCGGCTTCAAATTCATAAAATATTGTACTTACCATGTGCCACACAGCAAGCCACGCTGTGGAAATTCAGTGGTGGGCAGCATATTTATGGCTTCTGTCCTGTAGAACATGTGAGATAGAAGACAGACCAAATAATCACAGGGAACCTTTATGGGGGACAATAGGAGAAACATGCTGTTTGTGGGGAAGGCTCCTGGAGGAAGTGACATTTGGACTAAGGGCTGGCTTGAAGTTATCCAAGTAAAGAAGCAAAAAAATAAAAATAAAAAAAGAAATATATACAGCCAAAAGGGCAGCATATGCAAAGCCCAGCGGTACTAAAGAACCAAGAAGAGCGCAGGACAGCTGCAACATGGATCCAGAAAGCAGGATTGTGGACAGAGCCACAGCATGCAGGAGCGTGTGAGCTGTGGTCTGTGTCCTCAGCGTAAGTGGAAGGTAGCAAAGGGCTTTAAGCGCATGGGTGAGAGATCAGTCCGCTGTGGCCATGTGACTTCAAGCAAGTCACTTAACTTTCCCTACCTCAGTAACTTCCTTTTTCAAGTGAACAGATTATTCCTGCCTTCTAGGGCTGCTACAGAGATCAAACTAAGCTAGATGACTCCAGGCAGGCACCCGGTTTCTGGCTGGCATTTTTGCAAACATCAGTGCCCCTTCGTGCCTGCTTTGGAGGCTCCTAACCAGGGTGGCTGGGGAGACTTACACCCTCATCCACTCACTGCCTGGCTCACCTTTGCAGGTGTCCAGCACAAGGCTGAGCAAACAGACATGGCTTAGAGAGAAGGCAGGGCAGGCGAGGGAACTGCTGAGGGCTCCCTGGGTTCCCAAGCCTCTGAGGTCCAAGCGGGGAGGCCACAGCTCTTCTAACTGACATAGAAGGAAGCCACGGAGTAAAGGGTGAAAGTGTACCACCTGCCAGCCCCTGTGCCATGGTCTCTCACATTAACTAAGCACCTGGTTCATGCGACCCTGAGTCAGGTGTTTCATCGGCATACTAGGAACAGGGTGCGCATCACCTCGTGTAACCCTCACCCCACTCAATAAGTTGGGAACTGTTCTTCTCTTGATCTGTCCGAAGAGGAAACACAACGGTCAGGCAGCAGGTACAGGATTCAAACCCAGCTCTGCTGACCCATCGCTCAGGGTTTCTGTACACCTGTTTTCACTTCTCCGTGATGTAGGAGGGAAGGAAAAAACGTGAACACAAATCTAAGTAAAGGAATTTGAAATTCTGACCAGTATGGAAACCACATCCCTTGGCTTCATTTTGCCCTTCTTTGCCAGGTCAGAGGCCAAGACTTTGGAGAAAAGAAACAACCTTCATCATTCTCTTTCAGGAGCGTAGTACAGTGTGGAACCCAGGCAGAGGGGCAGTTAAATGAAATATAACCAAACAGAGACGGGTCAGGAAGGAGAAATCACCCATTTCTGTCTGCAGAAAGCCTTACTGTCCTCACAGACTTGCTTGCACGTGAGGGGTGTCAGTGGGCTTTCCTCGGCTCACCTGCTTATTAATCATGCTTGTGTATCATAATGGCAGTGGCTTTGTAGCTAGCCACTTGCCCTGAGCCCAGGACTAACTCCAGCACTGCATGCATTGGCTCCCTTGCCTCCTCCTTCAAGCCAAAGTAGCACCCTCACTTTACAGAAGAGAGCACCAAGGCTCAGAAGGGCTCCTGGAGTTGATTCCCTAGCTAGTGAGGAACAGGGTAAGATTCAGCCCTGTTCTCTCTGGTTCCACTTCACAGTTCATGTAACATTTTTCACACAGTCTCCCTATGGTCACCCTAAACATTTGTGAGAATGATTCCATTCTTACCCGTGTAGAGATGGGGATATAGCTCAGTGCCACGGATATAGCTCAATGGCACATGCATCTGCCTGGCAAGTGCAAGGTCCTGAGTTCTATTCCCAATACCAAAAAAAGAGAAAGAAACCTGTGTAGAACCTGAGATTTAGAAGCGCTTCACGTGCTGCGGAGTCTCGTGGCCAGGAAGCTACACACTGGGGCCAGAGTCCTGGGTGTGCGGCACATCAAGGCTGTGCTCCCCCTGCTGGCCGCGCCTGCACCTTTTCTCAAGATGACTGTCACTTAGTCCTTAAAGACAGGTGACCCATGGGTTGTTGCAGAGCCAGAGTCCTTGCAGAGGGAGGGAGCAGCTGCAGGGCCGTCTCTGTGTCCACAGAGCACCCTGTAAGTCAGGGTGAGACCTTTGGCTCAGGCAGGCAGGGGTGGGAAGCTGATGTTCAGAACCCAAAGGCTTAGGGAGCCGGCTGTCACCTTCCTTCCTTGGTGCTGATTTTCTGAGCGTTTACTGTGCACCCATTGCCTGGCTTCGGGAGCATGCTGGTCGGCCCAGCGGGCCGTAGGAGAGGCGTACACTCCAGACTGGATGCAAACACAAAGGCGTGATTCCAGGCTGCGGTGTGAACTTACGGGCAAGGTGCAGGCATCTTTGGTCTGTCAGAGGAGCTGCAAAGGCTTTCCTGTGCAGAGAGGTGATCACGTTAGAGCTCCCAGGTCGAGAGTGATCCAGGGGTGCTAATGTGAGACCCAGGAGCTAGGGAAGAGTCTGGGGCAGGGAGAATTGTATTCTGAAAAGGTCCCCCGGGACCACAGGCAGAAACCGATGAGGGCTGGGCCAAGTGTCCCTCTGTGCCCACGTCCTGAAGGCAGAGGGCAGCGAGGAGGGAAGGAGGGAAGCAGGGAGGCAGGTAGCCTTGGTTATGCTTTTCTGCGCGATGCTGGCCGCTGCGGCGCTGTTGTCTTGTCTTCCCTCCCGTGTCATCATTTTTCAGGTCCATTTTCCAGGTAAGGAAATTGAGGCTCAGAGTAGTGTTTATTGATTCAAGGGACCATGCAGTGAGAACAGAGCCACGCTGCTGGCCCCATCCGATGTCAGCGGCATAATGCCAGAACTCGAGCTTTGTTCACACACTCCGTTCTCACAGCTACTCTAAGGAGATGAATTGTAATCTCCCCACTTCACACATAAGCAAAGTGAGTCTCAAAGTCATCAGAGATAGTAATGTTCCCAAGGTCACCTAGCTAACTAACTACTGATGAGGCAGGAGTTGAGATTGCCCCACGGGATAACAGGGTGCTCCCCTCCCTCTGCCAGTGCCTCTTGTCTCCCCTGCTTGTTTGAGGAGCGCCCATCACTGTCTGTCTGATTTAGTGGGGTGGGGCATCCTTGACCATAGATGCCGCCTACCTGTCTCCTTCCTAGGCACCTTCAATGCCCCCTGGGCTGCCCTGGCCCGCAGCCAGGAGCAGTACTGCCTGGCCTGGGAAGCTAAGTACCTGATGGAACTCGGCAATGCCCTGGAGACCATCCTCAGTGGCCTCGCCAACATGGTGGCCCAGGAGGCTCTCAAGTACACCGTGCTGTCTGGTAAGCCTCCCCTCTCCCCACCGGCACAGCGGTACCATTACCTTGCATGCTCGCGGCCCCCAAGAAGCCAGGAGCCAAGCTGGAGATGGAGACTTGCGAAGGCTGCAGTCTTTCTGAGAAAGGACAGGTCAACAGCCAATCACATAGTGTACCCGTTAGCTAATGCTGTGTGACAAGCTGGTCCAAAACTTGGTGGCCTAGAATAATAATCATGTGTTACAATAGCTCAGGAGTGGAGAGGCTGGAGCAGGGCTACTTATGGATCTGTGGGTCAGCCAGTTGTTGAGGGACAGTAGCTAGCCTTACCTGGGCAGCCAGAGAAACTTGGCTATGCTCTGCATATCTCCTCCTGGGGTCAGCAGGCGAGCCCATCACAATGGGAGAAGTTTGGCAACTTGGGGAATGTGCAGGTCCAAGATAGAGGCTGTGGGCGTGCCCTCATACATCATTAGCCAGTCACTACCCTAGAGAGACTCCCTTTACCACTCATGTTCCACCTCCCCAGGCATTGTGGCCGCCCTGACCTGGCCAGCCTCACTCCTCAGTGTCGCCAACGTCATCGACAACCCCTGGGGGGTGTGTCTCCATCGGTCGGCAGAGGTTGGCAAGCATCTGGCCCACATCCTGCTCTCCCGGCAGCAGGTACTGGGAATGGCTGTGGGGGAAGGAAGGAGGTGAAGTCCTAGGTGACTTCCTAGGTGGAAGTCCTAGTAACAGGTCCACTTGGAGTGAGTCTGTGGCCTCGGTGGGGTTGGTGGTCTTCTCTGACCACCAGCGAAAGCCTTGCAGGACGCGTAGGATGAACCAACGGAAACTGCCAGACCACGCATCTCTAGCTGGTAATTAGATGAAGACTGAACACAGGGCCATCTGCAGCCGTGGACAAGGCTGGGGGGAACTGAACAAAAATGAAAGTAACTTCAACTAAAGTTTGGCATGGTGTACACCTGAAATCCCGTCTGCTCAGGAGGCCGAGACAGAAGGATTGTAAGTTCAAGGCCAGCCTGGCCAACTTAGCACGATCTATTTCAAGATAAAAATTAAGGACAAGCATGGTGGCGCATGCCTGCAATCCCAGCACTCGAGGCTGAGGCAGGAGGATTGTCTTGAGTTCAAGGCCAGCCTGGACTACAGAGCAAGACCCTGTCTCAAAAACAAACAAACAAAAAAAAATTTTTAAAGTCTGGGGGTGTGGCTGAGTGATAGAGCACTAAACTAACACACATGAGACCCTGGGTTCAGTCACCCATACCAGGGGGAAAGAAGAGTTTAGCAATAACTGGGCTCACTGGGCAAGAGGCGTACCTGAACCTCTCGTTCAGTAAGCAGTGAAGCCAGTGCAGTAAAGGACACCACACAGACACCTCTGATGGATTCCCACACACTGAGGCCAGGTGTTTCTTCCTAGATGTATGAAGTAGTCATCGTCATCAATGGTCCAGAGATTCCAGAAAATGGTTAGAAAGAGAAATCCTCATAATCTTTTAGAATTTTGGAATCTGGTAAAGATGGACTTACAAAGGAAATCAAAACTGTCTCCTTCAAAATAAGCTTGAATAGCCAGGTGTGGTGGTACCCACCTATCATCACAGCACTCTGGGAGGCTGAGGCAGGAGGATCACAAATTCAAGCTCAGTCTGGTAACTTAGTGATGTAGCGAGACCCTGTCTCAACATGAAAACGAACATGTGAGAGGTAGTATCAGATGGCTGTCTTGTTAGGATTGCCTTGGGCTGCAAGTAGAAGAAAACCTAAAATAACAGTGGCTTAAACAAAGTAGAAATTTATTTTTCCTAAAAATGGCCTTAACATTCTGGTCCAGGATGGCAGCATCTGAGTTCTAGGTAGGAGAAGAAAGGAAAAGCCGAAGGAGAGAGAAAGGCCCATAGCATGTCTGTCTGTTGGCCAAAGCCCAGTCGCTAGCAGCCACGGAAGCTAGGAGATACAGTCTTTATACTGAGTGGCGATGAAGCCAGCTGAAATTTAATTACTGTGCACAAAAGGCTCAGCAAACATCGAGGGACAGCTGGCAGTTTCTCCTACCATGGGTACATTGGCCTAGAAACTGGTAACTCCTAAGTCCTGCACAGGGATCTTTGCCACAGGGTGAAAAAAAAAAAACAAAAAAAAACAGAAGGAGAAGGAGAAGGAGCAGGAGCAGGAACAGGAGAAGGAGAAGGGGGAGTGGGGGAGAATTCCTTTGACAGGTTTGGCTGTAAGGTAAATACCAGAGTGGCACTGGCTGAAACGAGGTGAACTCTGTTCTCCCCTGCCAACAGTCTTGGCATGAGCAGCCAAGGCAAGACAACGTGAGTTCATTTCCCATTGTAACAACCACCGAGCGCATTGGTGTTATCTCACAGACCCGGAGGGCAGCGGTCCAAGATGTACTCACAGGGCTGCTTGCCTAGCAGATGCCCCAGGAGCACCCATTTCCCCAGCTTCCAAAGGCGGCTTTCATCCTTTGGCTGGTATCGCCCTCCTGCATCTGCAAAGCCAGCAGCACCAGTAGCATCTTCAGCTGCCTCTCTCGCTGTCCCTCTGCTTCCCTGTTCACACTGCCTTCTGTCTGACTGACTCCTGCACCCGTCTTTGGACGCCTGTGATTGCAGCAGGTCCACCCAGATAATCCAGGATCATCTTGCCATCTCAGGAGCCTGAAGCTGATCATATCTGTAAAGTGTGTGTTCCATAGAAGGCTTCATTTGCAGGTCCCAAGGGTGGACGTCCTGGCAGAGGCCATTATTCTGTCTCCCCCAGAGCCCAGACACCCTTATCCATTGGCCCTTCACCCAGCGCACTTGGTTCTCTCTGGTCTGCACGCGCACGCTAGGCTTCCAGAGGTAGGGAAATAGAAGTGAAGGCCACGTGTAGAAGTCACAGCTGTCTCTTGTCTTCAGTCCCTTTATAAGGATTCAGCCCTGTAGCCACCCCCAGGTACAAAGGCAAAATCTGTCTTTGTCTGACTGGTGCTGTGCCCAGGGAAACTTGGTAGTTGTAGTACCAAAGGATGGAGGGAAGGAAGGCATCAGGAGAGGACTACCAGTTTTTGCCACAAGGTTCCTGCAGAGTTCAAATGCTATTTAATGGAGGGATTTCTGTGATGTAGTAAATGGAGCAGAGGGGGTGGAATACACGAATTGATGGAAAAACAAGAAAACGACCAGACAGGTAAAACCAGGGGGCTCCTCAAGAGCGCACCGGCTCTTCCCTCTCCTTCTGTGCGTGTGGAACTGGCTCCCAGGTAGACCAGATAGCTTCCTTTTTCTTTAGTGCCTTCTGCTGATAACCCTCCTTTCCTACAGATTCCTCTTAATCTCTGCCTCACTCCCTTATCTTGTCATTTAAAGCCAATACTTCATGTACTGCCTTCCTCTCTACAAACAGAACAGCCGTCCCTCGCCTGTAACTCCTTGCTCTTTTACCCGTCACACCTGGGGGGACCTTCTGTCTAATCACCCCGCCCCCAGAGGGGTCCCACATCGCTGCAGTCATGTGCCGCAGGCAGAGGTGTCCAAGGGAAGGAGCCCTTGTAATTGACTGCTCCTGTCTCCCCGGGAAGAGGCAGCAGTGGCTGATAATGATTGCAGATGAAAGGGAATTAACCCAGTCAGAGGCCGCCTGCTGGCCTTGGAGGAAGCCAGTAGGAGTGGCAGGTGCACTTTTGCATAAATGAGAGCCCTGACTGCTGATGAAAGCCCCGGAGCTGGGGACCAGGATGGCACAGGCATGATTTGGCCCATGCATGAGCTGGCGTTCAGGGATGCACAAAGGCTGATAGTGTGTGAGAACTGACTGGGTCCCCTCCAGACACCTTTGTCTTTGTTTCCCCCGCCAGGGCCAGCGACCTGTCACCTTGATTGGCTTCAGCCTGGGAGCCAGAGTCATCTACTTCTGTCTGCAAGAGATGGCCCAGGAGAAAGGTGAGGCTGACTCATTGTCGCAGGTGCAAACCGTTCCCAAGTCGGTCCCCCAGGCCACAGGTTCTGAACCTGGTTGGGGTCCTGAGCTTTGCAAAGTGTATTCTTCATGCTTAGAAATAATGGTTAAACATTAGTAGATTTAAAATAGGGGGAGAGACAGGTAAGCCATTTGGAAAATCGTTTCACTTTTTCTATACAAAAATCAGTGGATGAATGGCAGTCTTCCAAAAATGACATTGGTCCTTTTGTTCTGGTGCATGTGAACATACCACCCCTGACCCACGGAAACCAGTGCCTTGCAGGAGGGGCTGGGGGCCCTGCTTAGTGTGTGAGTCCCCCAGGCTCGCGTGAACACCGTATGGGGAAGAAGCATGTCGTGTCAGCTGTGTGTGTCCCCAGCCCTTGTCACAGGTGGCCATAAATGCTTGAGGGAAGGAAAGAGTCCCTTGTACAATTTATTTAGAAAATTTCTACATCTCCAAAGAAACTCAGACAGGAGGCTTTTCAGTTAACAAGAATTTGACAGGAGGGCTGGGGATTTAGCTCAGCGGCAAAAGCGCCTGCTTGGCAAGCGCAAGGTCGTGAGTTCGGTTCCTGGTACCGGAGAAAAACCCAAAAAAAAAAACAAAAAACAAAAAACAAAAAAAAAGAATTTGACAGGAATGTGACTCCAAAGTGCCTGGAATCCCGCAGTCGAAAGTGCAGCTGGCTCAGCACCCCTGCGGTCACTTGCAAAAGTGTTGGGTCAGGGCCGGAAACTCTGAACAACAGTTTTCAATCCTAGGTGGCCTAATCACTTTCCCCATGTTGAAGAACCTCCCGTGACCCCTGTGTCTAGTCGGGAGGTGACAGATGGCTCTGATAATCCCTTGCCCTGACCTTGACCAAGGACACTGCAGGTGGCTGTCCCTTTGCTGGCTGTGGCTTATTCCAGCAGGAGCAGCAGCGAGGCTCACACGCATGGCTGAGGCAGAAGACCCCTCCCGGGACAGGTGGCTGAATGGCCACAGTCAGTGCCATCCATCCGAGCAGTGCCAGGTAGAAGGGCCCTGTCCCCATGTGACACTGCAATTTTCCCTTTTCTTTCCAGAGTATAAGTCAGGGGCTCCAGTTGGTTTGTAGAAATAGGAAGCTAAAAGCAAAACACTGCCCCCCTGCAGAGGGGACCTGAAGGCTCCCAGATGCAAACCTCTAAGCCTGCATGTTTGGGGTCCTGGGGCAGAGGAAACTGTCGGGACCTAGAGCGGAACCTTCCTCACAAGCTTCAACCCCACAAAGCGGATGGGTAAGGGCCGGGGATATAGCTCAGCAGCACGGTGCCTGCCTGGCAAGCATTGAGTTCATCCTGAGTTCGATTCCCGGTACCAAAAAAAAAAAAAGCAGACGGGTAAAAACACAGATGTTCACTGTCTCATAAAACTGCAGTCACCAGGTGGTGGCCACATGGAAGGTGTCCCAGCCTTCCACACATGGAAACTGGGGTGACACTCCAGATCCAAGCTATAGAAGCAGCAGTGCATGGAAATGCGGGCCCATAGTAAACCATCGTGATCCTTACCAAGCATTCATAATGTGCTGGGAGCTGTCTGCAGTGTGGGCTGGCATATAGATGACACAGGCTGTAGACCTCATGGAAGAAGGCTTGGCCTCCGCAAAGGGTCAGCCCTGTGCTCCCTGTTCCTTTCTGTCACACCCGCCTGCTCCTCCCAGCAGGCCTCCTCCCAGGCCTTCGCCTGTGTCCTTGGGGCAGCAGCTTCCACTCTGGCTGTGATCCTGAATGGACCCCTTCACCCGGAGCTGCTGTCTCACATCCGATCCATCCCAGCTCACTGTCTAGTTCCAGGCAGCCCTGATTATTTAACACCCATTCATTAATCTGCACACGGAGGAGCCCGCTCCTAATTGCAGGAAAGCTGTCATTACCCGAGTGAGGAGATGTAAAAAAGGAATTACTCTAATGCATTTGAATCCAGTAATTGTTTTCTGGAGCCCCTTGAGAGCCAGTAATGAAATGTAGCAATAAATCCCAGAGTCCGCAGTCCTCCAGCCAGCCTCTCTCTGCCTCTCTCTCCCGACTCTTCCCTTTCCCTGAGAAAAACTGCCTGTAGAATTGCTAACTTCCTTCATGTCTCTTTTGGGGTGATACTGCAGACCGTGGGATTTGCTGCTCTGGGGCTCTGCTGCCATTCACAGGGGCCCTCACAGCTGGCCTGCCCTTACCTCGGGCTCTGCATGGTCAGCTTCCTCTCAAATAGATGTCGTCTGCAAGCCACTTCAGGCAGGATTCTGTCTGACTGACCTCCTTGAGTCCTATAATGAGACAAAGCCAACAGAAAGTGTGTGTTCTGTGAGTGACTTCAACATGAAGTCTACTCTTGTAGGCCTTCACTGTGTATCAGTCACTATAGGCTAAGTTATGCTGTAGTAACAAGCATCCCCACCTCTTAGAGTAACACAACCAAGGTTCATTTCTCACATATGCTGCTCAACCCCTGTGGGTAAGCAGGAGTTGACCATAGTCACTTAGCCTGTCAGCCCAGAAAGGTACCACCTCAACATGTGCCTTCCCTATAGGGGTCAGAGATTTGTGAGTTGTGCACTGGTTTTTGTTGTTTCTTTTTTTAAACCCAGAAGTAACACATATCACCTTTGCTCATGTTTCATTGACAAAAGCAAGCAATATGGACATTCCTAACATCCAGGAAGGACTGGTGAGTGGGTCCCTACCATGTGTTCAGAAGACAGAGAGGTAGAACCAACTGGGAAACAGCAAGGTGGTAACCGCAGTGACTTATTCTTATATCTACTAAGCAGCCACAAAAGTAGCACTAAGGAGCAGTTCCATTTCCTGAACACATAGTAGAAACTCAGGCTCAGTTAGCAGGCAAAGGACTTGGTGGGATTCTGCCTCTGTAATGAACTGTCAGCCACGATGTTATTGGTACCGAGCTTCAGTTTGTTTATCCCCAACTTCGCCTCACAAGAACAGCTTGGAAAGTAGTAGAACACCTTCACAGGAAGTCAGAGAGGGGCCAGCCCTGAGAGGCTTGGGTCAGAGCCCCAGCTGTGGATGGAACCAGAGCGCAGTGCTCAGCCAAGAGGCCCCCATGCAGCTAGGCAAGTATGGCACCAACATGCCGCCCATCAGAGGGACAGAGCCAGGGCCACTGTGAAGCCCTGGGTCCAGTCAGTCAGGGAGCAGCACCAGGCAGATCCCAGTCAGAGCCTGGGATGGCATTTGGCCCAGAGAATCAGAGGAGGTGTCCTGGTGACAATGCCCAAAGACACACAGCTGCCATGGATGGGAGTGACAGTAATGTCAGAAAGAATGACAGCAGCAGTCACAGTCACATGGGAAGACCCAGCCCCTTTCCCACTTTTTGCTCAGAGCTTTATGCACATTCTCTTCCACTGTCAGCCAACCTGATGCAGGTAGTTCTGCCGCCGTTTTTCAGATGGGAAGAGTGAGATTTAGAAAGAAGTAGTTACCTGTCTTAGAATTAGGATTGTGACATGTCTTTTTCCAACTCTGGAGTTCCTGTTTTAACTTAGGATTTTATTTCAACCCTGCTTATTGGGTGGTTTCACTCAAAGCCATATCCCAGATCAGATCTTCCAGAAAACTATTCAAAATAAAATTCATTCCATCAGGTGGTATTAACTAAGCAGCTGCTATGTGCTGGGCACTATGTTGGACTTTGGGGAGATGACAGCTAACTCAGGCTCTGCCATCATAAAGTTCACAGTCTATTAAAATAAACTGTACTCCTGGAGACACAAGTTGGCATCTTGCAGAGTGTGTACAGGGGTCAGCAGTGATGTGTGCCAGTCGTAGAACAGAGCAGCTGGCACATAGTAGGTGGTCGGAAGGGTAGTCTTACTGGCCTTCCACACTGAGCTCATAGAGGCCGCTTGGTTGAGGCTGACGTCCCTTTTCCTGCACATCCCGCCCTTAGGCGGAGACCATTATCTCCACCTGCTCCAGACTTAAGAGCTAGCAGAGCAACAGTCACAGAAGTCAGTCCCCAGAACAGAGTCAAGAGCTCAGCAAGGCTTCTGTGTGTGCAGGCGTCCCCAGGCTGAAGGGAAGGACTGCTTCCGGGCAGGAATCCTTCACCATCTGGACGAGCATTTTGAGTGCTTGATGTAAATGAAGCATCTTTTCTTCATACAGAAACAGGCCCAGGCCAGGCGTGGTGGTGAACGCCTGTAATCCCAGCACTCGGGAGGCTGAGGCAGGGGCATCGTTGTGAGT